GTAGTCTTCAGTAAAAGTAAAATAAAGTTTGGTAGCTACACATAAGACGAGATGCTCTTTCATGTCATTTCACCAGTGCCCTAGTCCCCCTTCTGCCGCTTCATGTTATTCCGCAGAGGAATCGGCAGGCCCTGTGGTGGTGGTGCAAATCTCTGCCGCGGGCCGCGTTTCGCCCGCACGACGCCTTGTACCACGTAGACCCCTGCCAACGCCGCCAATATGTTAAGGCCAAGGAGTATGGCAGAGAAAACCAAATCAAGCATCGTGACATATGTCTGTAACCACATGTAATAAGCGGCCCCCACCGATGCCACAACTAGAAGGCAAAGGGCAAGGCATGATGTACTTACTTCCTCTGTAAGATTCCCGCGTGTACCGAGGACTAGAGCGGCAATGTCCACGAGGAGAAGAAGAAATGCCGAGACACTTTCCATTGGCAGCGCTGCGGGAGGAAACGGCAGCAAAGTTCCCTTGTAGATGAGGAGCGCCAGCGTCAGGATGAACCAGATGCCGCTCCACCCAAAAGAACCGTACAGCAGAAGCTGAAAAGAAAGTGAGGGACCACCCACCGTTGAGATGTCCACGTCCATGGATCCTCTGCAAGCTAAGATGGTAAAACACACACACACGATGAGGTTCCCCACGCCTTTCGCAGGAAACAAAAATCAAATATATACAACCAAAAAAAAAAAAACAGAAAGGAAGGGGAAAAAAACTCGTTGCACATGTAATAATTCAGCAGCATGATACGACGCAACAACCATCACAGGCATACGCGTGCAAAGAGACGATGAGAAACACATGCGCATGACTCTCTCACTCCGCCTTCCCCACGCATACAAGACAAAACAAATTTAATCGATCGGTTTATTTAACTATTCAATACGATCTCCCTCATTTCTTCCTCTTCTCGTCATTTGGATTACTACCATACGGATCTTCTCAGATTTCCTCGTCGCTGTCATCTGCTCCCTGTTCAGCTGCTGGGTCTCGTACAGCGCGTCGAAGCACGGTTCTTCGCTCACGTTCTCGCAAGCGACCAATACGATCCTTTTCTTGCTGACGTACTAATTCCGCCTTCCGCTGCTTCAGCTGCCGGATGTCTAATCCACGCAGTGGCCAGAACTCCTCATCTGAGTTTTCCTGCTCCACAAAGGCGTACTTACCCAACACCTCACCTCTCGACACGCCTGCTGACATGGCCCCTTCAAACTGATCCTCTTCCTCCTCTTCTCCAACCTCTGCATTAGCTTCGTCTCCGGCCCTGGTGTCACAGACGCTCCCTTCAGCGTTGGTAATTGATTCTCCCAGCGTCGGGGATTTCTGGCACTTGGCGCAGCGCGCCGTCTCCTTTGCACACTGCTGGCACATATGATGATACGCAAGCGTCACCGTCCTTTCCTGGCAGCAGTTGCACCTTCTTTGACGTTCCAAAGGAATGTACTTGCCGTAGTCCACCTTCCATTGCAGGACTTCGCAGCAGCGTCGGCAGCACAAGCTAGTAAAGAACGCCACAACACCCGGTGGGAGCTTCTGATCATCCAGTTTGTAGCGATAGGGATCAAACTTCACCTTGTTCATGTACACTTGTTGCGAACCTCTTACCCCATGCCTCACAAGACGCTTGCCAGGCATATCGTCTGGTCCTACTGGTTTGTGGTGCACGTGGGCAAATGAAGATTGACACGGTATCACACCTCCTCCCACAAACAAGAAAAGTCAAAAAAATAAAACACGAAGTGATAATTGGGCGACAAATAACAAATAAAGCGGAGTTTCAGGGTGGATGATGATGATTACGAGTATGGAAAAGACATTGGGGCACAATACAGACATTGCGTTCCTCCCCGTCCAACAACAGAAATTAAGGAAGATTGAAAAAGGAGTAAGCAAAAAATGCCACGCGTCTACGCTTCCCTCATACCCTTTACTGGTAGTGGTGAATCCAAATAAAGCCGTAGCTGCGAAATGGTGGTGCAGTTGATCAGCTCCCCCCACTCCCATGATAAGCCATTCCCACTACTCTCTCGGTGCAGGTTAACACTACCACTACCAGACCCGCCACCATCAACGGCATGAGCATCATCCTCACTGTGGGAGTAGCGACAAACAAACCCTGCAATGACACCAAAGCTACATGGGTCTCCGACGCACCGTTCCACCACAGACCTTGGGCCGGAAGACGTACAAGGAAAGAACAAAGAGACTTTCCGTGCAAGGCCTTCTGAGCCCTCTCCACACTGACTCCACCCTCCGCATGCCCACTGCATAACGGAGTTCAGAAGATCCCCTTCAACAGACAAAGAAGAAAGTTCACCACCTCCAGCACCAAGGCAGTTCACAACATCGTCCTTGAGAAAAAGTATGCAGCCGTACAACGTAGTTGCCACTGAATCAGCTTCCTTGCTGCCTCGCTTCTGCCACAGCCTTGAACGACTAAGAGAATCAACAGTTTGCCCCTTATTGTAGACCCAACGACCAATAAACATAACACGTAACCTAAAACACAACAACGAGGAAAGACACTTCAGCGCAAGAAATTGTCTCAGCACAATCAAATAGCCCAAAAAGGGATAAACGCTAAAACACCATATGTGAAAGACTCCAGGCATACACAGACGCCCAATTCATTTCAGAATGTCTCTAACGTCGTTCTGAATGGCACCGCGTTTGTCAGTGCCCCCTTGGCTAAAACGAAACTGAAGCGAGCCGTAAAACAGAGACACACTCAGTAATAGAATGGCGGAAAATTATAATAACCACACGTAGCAGGAAAATAAAAAAAAACATACATGACTCTCCTCTCTACATACAATTACCACCCTCACCCACCTGCAAAAAGGTGGCAACAAATGCTGACCCCCAAGCGTGGTTATAAACAAAGGTAGAACGTATAATAATAACTCATAAAGCTCCCCCCCTTTTTTTCCCATCCTTGACACATTTACCACAAACGTGGACAACGCACAAAGTCACATTTTACATCCCACCTCTTCTTCTGTATGGCTACCTCCACTAGCGTTCAGTAAAGAACGAGACCTCTGAAATCTGGTCCCCAGGCACATGACACGCATTACCAGCATCAATAACAAAGGCCGCCATAAGTGCTTCAGACCTCTCAAGCAATAACTTTTCCCATCCGTCACCATCTAGAACCTTTACATGCCGCGTAATCACCTTCTCCTTCACCTCGGTTGAATCTGTCCACAACTCACAGTGCGCCCTCAAAAACACAAGTTCCTTCTCCTTGTCCGCCAACAGAAAATTCAACGCGGTATTAACTCCATCTACACCCTTTAGCTGAACCAAAATATCAGTCAATTCCTTCTCCAGTACTTCGACCGCATGATCCCTTTCAGCAGATAAACTTTCGAGAGCCTCCTCCAACTCACAAGATTTCGACTTCAATCCGTCAATCACCAACTCCCTTGATTTCATATCAGATACAACTCTTTCCTTCTCCAACAAGCCCCGATCTAACTCTTCAACCAAACCTTTATTAATGTTTGCCAGTCGCTCATTTTCGTCGGCCTTCTTCTCCAGCTCTTCAGCCAGCCTCTCATTTTCGTCGGCCTTCTTCTCCAGCTCTTCAGCCAGCCTCTCATTTTCGGCGGTCCTTCTGCTCCAGCTCTTCAGCCAGCCTCTCA